AGCAGGGAGAAGAAAGAGGGAAAGTTCCATTGTCTGTTTCTCCATTGCAGCACAGCACCCAGGATCCACTTGGATAGCGTGTGTGTGTGTGTGTGTGTGTGTGTGTGTGTGAATTCAACAACCGGTTAGCCCGAACTGGTGAAAATCAGTTGAATACCACCACTGCCTTAAGCTGAACCACAATAAGTGTATACAAATAATATAAGTAATAAAGGCAAAAAAGGAAGATGAAAAGTATCCACTCAGTATTAATTATTTATTTACTGTTAAAGTCTAAAATGTAATAAGATTTGACATCTGTAGCAAGAATTTTAGAAAAAAAATATTACAATAGTTTAATATGAAAGCCAGGTTGGTTATTAGTTAAGGCACAGGATAGAATCCAAGAGACCGCGAGGTCTAGTCCCACCTTGAGCACAAAGCCACAATCACTCTCTCTCAGCACTAGGAAGTAAGTAATAACAAACTTTTGAATTCTTATCAATGAGAAATAATGATTTGGTAATGCAGTGGTCTTCTTTAAATAGACCATCTGTTTGTGAGCCACAGAGAATTGGTGATCCAATTCCACAAAAGTTATTTTCAAGTTGAACAGATTATTTCCTAATAATTCTGCATTAGAGTATAATGCCATTCCTGATAATTGTATATAATTGCACAATATGAATTCTTCTAGTAGCTTGCACAATAATTAATGAACTACAAGTCATTTCTCCTCCAGCTCAAACTCTTATCACAGACCTAAGCCAAATGGTATGAATTATGTAAAGTTTCAATCAAAAGCAACTTTCAAAAATCTGAAACCATAAATGAGTTTTCAGCTAATTTGTAAGAGTATTAATTCTTCATATGAATAATAAAATTACCAGTTCAGATAAAGTTGCTGTTCCATTAATCATGAAACACTTTTTTACAGTGTCAAATGCAATATAATACCAAGCCATCTGTCGTCCAGTTTCTGTACAAAAAAATAAATATATAAAACAATGAAATATTTTTAATAAGTGAAATATAAAAGACAATTTTTTTCTAGTTGAACAATAGCTTTAAATTTTAAGAGCGCTTATGATAAAGAAAAGTCCTTTTTAATAGTAAGTCCAGTTCTCCTTTAGAACCAATTATCTAAAGAGGTGGGAGGTTCCTCTTCACTAGACTGGCTAGACAGCCATCAGTTTTAGGATGCTTCAGTTTGGATTCTCGCATACGATGTAGCTCAATGGTTTAAAGCAGGGGTCTCCAACCTTGACAACTTTAAGGCTTGTGGACTTCAATTCCCAGAATTCCTTTGCTGGCTTTGCTGGCTGAGGAATTCTGGGAGTTGAAGTCCACAAATCTTAAAGTTGCTAAAGTTAGAGACCTTTGGTTTAAAGGGATTTTCCAACTCTATGACTCTGTGACATCAATTTTAATTCCAAGGACTTCAAATTATTTTAGCTACTTGTTTTTATAGAATGGGAACATAACAAAAACTAGATCTAACCATAAAATATGGTTTCTGCCCCCGTTATTCAATTTTCCTAGTTCATGTTTATAATACAAAAATCTTATCAAGAAGTTGCTCTTAATTAATGGAATGCTGTAAGACAAGGAGAAACAGACTTTTATAACTGGAGTTGGTCACAGTTAACACTTTTCTGAGACCTGAGATTTGCAGTAAATAGTATCATGACAGGCAGAATCATGACACTATAAACGTGGCTATGCTTGTATTTTTTATGATGTATATTTTCTATTTGATTTTTTTAAAAAATAGTGTTATGTCTATTTTATGGCTGATGTTACACTTTTCAGGTGTTTACTGAAAATGACAAAAACTACACTGTCAATTTTCAGTCATTATGGAAAGAAAGAGCTGGACACATAACAGAGACTTGAGAGCTATGTGAAGTCTTGCAATTGCACATTGCTCTAGGGCACAGTTTTTATGAGAACAACTGCACCAGAAAACATTTTAAATATTGAAATATTAAAAAATAAATTATGAACTTTCAGATAATATCAATTATTATTACCTGTGGTTTTGAAATAGAGATTATCATCCATCTTGATCAAATCAAGTGATGATAAATCATTCAAATTCTTCAAACATAGTTCTGTCCAAGTTGAAGTGATCATTTTTGATATGCAGGAAAAAAAATAATTTTTGTAGATAGAAAAACCACAACATTTATCTATCTTCTGTGAACAGGCAAAACACTGATTTAACTCAGGCAAGGCAAGCACTTCCATTCCCCACATTCACTCACCCTATTTCCCAGATATAAAATCAATTTCTTAAATATCTATGCAATAGCTATGAACATGTGACCAAACAAGAAAAACAAGTTTACACTTGCCCAGATAAAATAAAGGGGATTCTTTATAAAGGTGAGTTTAAAATCTTAGCCTCACATAAAAGTAGGGAGTTGCGGAGAAGGTTCTTTTCAGATCAACCTTTGTTTGAGTAAAAGCTTTATTTTGGGACAAAGGGAAACAGCATGGTTGAAAGAGATGAAGGAAAGCTCTTCTGGGAAATAGCCAAAAAGGAAGATGCCAGAAGGAGAAGATGTAAGCAAGATAAAAGACTGAAAATGACCACATCGTCCTAATGAGCGAGATCCCAAGAAAAGAACTAAGCAATGTTGAAGTGAGAGGAGCCACAAAAGGAGCAGAGCTGAACTTTAGGATTGGAGGTGAAAGTAGATATGGCTTGGAACCTTTTTGGGGACAGAGAAATAGTCTTGCTTTATTCAGAAAGGCAGAGATTCCAGGTGAAAGGGAAAGAATTCTGGAGTTGGTGGTAAGAGCAGAGCTATCTCTCTCTGGGCTCAAGGGAAAAAAGGCACTTTATTGTGGTCCAATAATCCCTAAGGATTCCACAAGAGCTAAGAGGAAAAACAAAAGAATTAGCAGAACTAGTACTAGGATGTGAAGCAAAATGAACAAACAAATTTAAGTATCAGGTTAAAGCCTATTGAAATGCACTTTGCGTTTTCAAGAAATCTAACCTTGTAATTTTGCTTCAATTCCATTTCTGTCCAGCCCAGCTGAAAACCCTTGGTTAAAAGAATACATTTGATTATTAATGCTTAATTAGTAAAAGAATAATGTGCAGATCTTTTGTTATAGAAACCTATGTAAAGTTTTACAATCAACGGATTTGTATATTAAGCATACAATTTATTATGGGACACAAAAGGATGCCTAAAGAGATTTATAATTTATTTATTAATGTTAACTTTAAAATTGTCGCAGCTTAAACAGAAAACACACACATTATACAATTTGGGTTTTTATTTATTTCATTGTTGTCATCAGCAACCAATAAAAAAATCACCAATTAATTAATCCATTGTAAAATAAGTAATCTAAGAGAAGCATCACTAATAAGTAAATAAATAAATATGGTTCTAATCCTTACAAGCATGTCATATGTTATCTTGCTTTACTTCTGTGCAATTATGTACAAGTTTCTCAAGTACAATTCTCCAGCAAATATATATTACATTTAGTCAAAATTTATTTATTTATTTAAATTTATTGGTCACCCAGTACCAATGGACTCTGGATGACATACAAAACTAGTGTATACATAAAAATATTGAATTACATTGACAGTCCAGATTTAAAGGACCTCAAAAACAACAAAACAAACCATGAACAAATAATAAACTTCAGCCTCGGGCCTTGATCCAGATCCAGGTTTTCAATGATTTAAGTTCAATTCCTGGAGCTTACCAAAGGATTTTCCCTCCTTGCACAGAGGGGAGCTGATTACAGCTGCAAGAACATTTGAAAGCAAAAGGGCTGCTTGCAGGGAGGATTTCAGCTTTTCACAGAGCTTAAATCATCTCTCCAGGCAACTCTTATTATTCCACTCAGTGACCTAGGAGATCGCTTAAAGATTGCAACTGGGAGAGCTGGGATTGCAGTTGTTGAGCAAAGTAGTCATGTGGGCATCTTGCTTAACCACTTTGCTTAACAACTGAGACTCTGGTTCCAATTGTGTTCATAAATCAAGTGCTACTTCTACTTCCTATCATGCTTCTAGCTCTTGTTTACACATACACACGTACCATCTCTTTTTGTACAATTTCCAGCTTCTGGAACAGATTTCCAGTACCTGCTGGCACCTTGCTACACATATTGTTGTCCTTCCAATATAGAAGGAACAATGGATAAGAAGATATATAGACACCATACACTATATTTTAGAATGTATCAACCCACAAATTCATGCCATAGTCCGTAGGTAGTCAGCTAATGACCTAGATATACCAGAAATTTCAAATTTCCTTTAAAACTGGCTTGTAGAATTAAAGTAACAGCTGCTTGCTGTTCTCACATATAGCAATCTGTCATAGTGCTTCATTTTAGGAATTGACCACCTTCCCCTCAGAGCTCTGAATTTCTCCTTCCCTCCTTTAACATAAGCATCCTAATTGAACATATAAATGTTTGTCCATTATTCATGAGACAACAAAGGAATCTGTTCTAGCACTAAAAATAGCTTAGAAAATAATATTCAGTTTTCATAGTTTAAAATGCTTTCAGCATCTGACATTTTCCCTATTTTCTATTTCTATTTTTTAAATCTCAGCTTATTACAGAAAAAGCAAGATAGCATTCAAACATTAACATTTGTTCCACTGTATTTCTGCTAACAAATACAGACCTTTTTTTAAAAAAAAACTTATTTTTGTGAATATTTTTCCAGTGACTACTACAAAGATTTTATATCTGCTTTCATCTCTCTCTCACTTTCTCTCTTGCTCTTTCTCTCACACATACACACATATATACAAAATCGGTGTGAAAACAGATGTAGTGAAAGGTGCTAAATGTCCTAACTGTTATCATTTAAGGGCATTTCAAGAAAGTAAGTATTTCATTTACCACTTTTTCCCTCCTCCTTTTCTTTCACAGTTCTAAAAAGCAGCTGTTCCACATACAGAGAGATCCTACTGTGCTGAACACTGCAGAATGCCTTATGCTGTGGTGATGACAGCAAGAAGGATCAGTGAAGAAACAGTAACTTTGCCTTTGGGGGAAATAGATCTGCATTCACTTGATATAAAATAGTTTATGAATTTTAATGTTCTCATTTGATTCTCTATAAAAACAAGCCTATTTAGCTGAAAACTTTAAAAAATTATACACTATTCAAGAAAGTGAATCCATCTTCTTCAAAAACAGGCAGCCTAATACTTACTGTTGGGAACAAAATACTATCTGTATCACATTCCAGTATGCAACTAACATTTTAATATTTTGAAATGTTGCATAGAAAGAATTATCAGACTTCTACAAAAGAAATTGCAGTATGAAACTGCAATAAATCTGTTAAAAGTTTAAGTAACCTCAAGGCCATCAATGGAACAAGAAGAAATAAGAACTACAGCTGCAATATCCCAAAGACAGACTGATTTTCTATTTCCAAGTTTTCTGGCATAATTTTAACTTTCCATTTTAACTGCTCAAATCCAAGCATTCCATTTATGAGCTTAGTAAAAAATCTAATCTGTAATCCTGGGTAATAATTTATCGAGCACCTTACAGACTATGAGATGGTTGGTAAGCAAAGTGTTCACATAAAGATACAAAAGAGGTTCAGTATTCATAAAAGCTCTTGTCAAATCTACAAATTTTTTGTACTTATCCTTTTTGTCTTTCAGTTTATCAGAGAGATCTTTGTGCAACCATGCTGTTTTTTTCTTGGATTTCTTGTTTTTTTGTGGTATGGTGTTGTGTTGGGCTTTTATGATCATATTTTTCAATGTTTCCCATGCTTCTTGAGTTGTTTTCCCCTTTAGGATTTTTATCCATGAAATTTTGCTTAGGCTTTCTCTTAGTTTGTTAAAATCAGCTCTTTTAAAGTTTAAGACACTGGTTGGATTATATTCTATTGCTTGTGTTTGCATTATATTGAATTCCGGTATGATGTGGTCACTCTTGCCCAAGGTTCCAGCAACTTCAACTCCCTCTATCATTTCTTCTCTATTAGTAAGAATTAGGTCCAGTATAGTTTTACCTCTAGTTTCCTCCTTTACCTTTTGAATGACAAAGTTGCCAGCTAAGTTGGTTAGGAATCTGTTTGATCCCACTTGCTGCAGAGTTTGTATATTTTCATCTGTGTAACAAAATAACAGGTAGTATCTATGTATGTGTGTGTGTGTGTGTGTGTGTGTGTATCTATATCTATATCTATCTATAATATAATATTATATATATATATATATATATATATATATATATATATATATATATATATATGGTATTATGGTATTCAGCTTTGTTTGGGTATTTTCCCATGTTATTATAGTTGTGCTTTTAAAGTTGTAGCAACGTTTCAGCAGAATCTCATCTGCCATCATCAGGCTTCTGTATAGTGTTTGTCTGTGAGTCAGATTTTCACAGCCATTTCTGTTTTAAATTTGGTGCTAGTCTACTGCTGTGCCAGAATGGTTTTTTCTTCATCCTGATTGGTTGGGAGTCTTGGTCTGTGTTTATTGGTCTTGGAGTTTGCTGTGTTCTGCTTGATTAATGTTTCTGATATCTTCTGTCTGTTTTGTAGCTTTTTTTGTCTTGATTGGCTGGCAACATTGTGTTTCCTGTAATGGAGGGTTTTAGTGCGGCTTGGTTCTGAGTAAACAGGTGGCTATCGTTTATTAGGAAGCTAGGTTTCATCTGGGTGCCTGTTTGGGGTGTGTTATATATATCTCTAACGAACACAATACAGAAGCCTGATGATAGCAGATGAGATTCTGCCGAAATGTTGCTACAACTTTAAAAGCACAACTATAATGACATGGGAAAATACCCGAACAAAGCTGAATGCCATGCATGTAAGTACCCGCGACAACTTAAGAATATGTATATGTATATGTATGTGTGCTAAATTATCACCCAGCTGAATCTCCCGTTGAGATGGACTGGGGACTTTTTTTCTGGAAAGTTTTTCTTAGTTCCCAGCTTGCTCCAGTTAATTTTCAAATTTGCTTTTGTTAATTTGATTGCATTTTGGGAGCTTGGCAACTGGCTCACTTTGTGCCATTTTGCAGCATCCCATGATCATATGAGCATGATTTTTTACATTGTTTGCTAGTTTCCAGTGTTCACTTTTGGTTTCCAGCAAAAAAAAACACCCATTGGGTATAATGGATTCAATTAATGACTATGCTGTTCACTTAATGATCATGGCATTTGCTTAATTACCCCACAAAAAATATTGTTCTGTATTCCTGTAAGCAGGAAAAGACAGATGAACATAAGCAATAAGAAACTACATATCCTGATTGCCTAGATTTCTACTGAAAAAGGAAATGCATAAGAAATACCATTAATGTTTTGAGTAAAGTATTTGCCAACAGAAAACTGTTTTATCATAAGAAACAAATTACCACATCACATTTTAATTGTCTACTTCAATTCACAAATTTTAAGTGCCACCTACCATAATAAGCTGGATTCTTCAAAGCTCTGATATAGAGGAAAGTTGATCTCACCCATTCTAGAGCTATGTTCACATCAGTGATGGTGTGAAGCACTATTTCAGCATTTAAGTGCTCAATTAGATGTTTGTGCAAACTAATATAAAAAGAGAGAGAAAAGCGAAAAAATAAGATACAAATTACATGCATAAAATATATATTATTACCAACACAATTTATTCTTAAATAGAGAACTGGTGATTTGTGATCTAGTGCTGAACCCCTTAAATATAAATATTTAAAACAATAATACATTTAATTAAGTAGTAGTTAAATATTAAGTAGTTGGTTTCATTTCCTACTGGGAGAGCTTAAAGACATTTTTATGTAATTCAAACTAAATGCGCAGGTACAGGATAAGCAGTTCCTGGCTCAATAATAGTATCTATGAAAGTGTCTCGGTGGACCACTGCTTGTGGGTCAGCAGTTTGATTGCTGCTGCCAAAAAGGCGGATGCAGTTCTAGGCTGCATTAACAGAAGGATAGCATCAGGAACATGGGAGCAGCTCAAGGTTGACTCAGCTTTCCATCCTTTCAAGGTCAGTAAAATGAGGGCCCAGATTGTTGAGGGCAATATGCTGACTCTGTAAACTGCTTAGAGAGGACCGTAAAGCACTGTGAAGTGGTATATAAGTCTAAGTGCTAAGTTACCACAATACAAAAAGAGAAGCTGAGGCCCTAGAAAGTGTGCAGAGAAGAACAACAAAAATGATAAGGGGTCTGGAGGCTAAATCACACAATGAATGGCTAAGGGAACAGTATGTTAGGCCTAATGAAGAGAAGGCTTAAGGGTGACATGCTAGCAATCATCCAATACTGTCTTTCTATTGGGAATCAGTATAAAGACTATATAAATACTCCGGCTAAGATTGGACTTAAGCATAGTGCATAAAATCATATGTTACAATGTCTTACAGGTTAATGAATATATTTCAGCTTTAACCACAACAACACAAGAGCACACAACAGATATAAACTAAATGTAAACCACTTCTAACTTGATTGCAGGAAGTACAATTTCAGCAACAGAGTGGTCAATGTCTGGAACTCACTACCTGATTCTTTTGTCACATGCTCAAACCCCCATTCCTTTACCCTCAAACTAACCTCTATTGACCTCACCCCATTCCTAAGAGGTCTGTAAAGGGCGTGCATAAGTACACAATCATGCCTACTGTCCCTGTGCTATTGTCCCCAATTATTAGTTCCTATTTCATGTATTTAAACTTATGTTGATTCTTATTTCTATTATATTGTAAGCGTTTGACAAAATAAATAAATAAATAAACAAATAAATAAATAAATTGC